GTAATCAAAACAGAGTGGTATTGGCACAAAAACAGACATATGGATCAATGGAATGGAATAGAGTTCAGAAATAAACCCACACACCTATGGTCAGTTCAATCTTTGACAAAGGAACAATGGAGAAAAGAGAGTCTCTTCAGCAAGTGGTGCTGGGAAAGCTGGACAGCTGCATGTAAATCAATGAAGTTAGAACACTTCTCCACACCATACACAAGAATAAACTCAAAATGGTTTAAAGTCCTAAATATAAGACACGACACCATAGAACTCCTGGAAGATAACATAGGCAAAGCATTCTCTGACATAAATCATAGCAATATTTTCTTGGATCACTCTCCCAAGGAAAGAAAAGCAAAAATAAACAAATTAATTAATTAAACTTAGAAGATTTTGCACAGAAAACCATAAACAAAACAAAAGGACAACCTATGGAATGGGAGAAAATATTTGTAAACAATGCAACTGACAAGGGGTTAATATCTAAAATATATACAACTCAATATAGAAAAAACAAACATCCCAGTCAAAAAATTGGCAGAAGACCTAAACACACATTTCTCCTAGGAAGACATACACACATAGCCAACAAGCACATGAAAAGATTCTCAACATTGCTAATTATTAGAGAAATGTAAATCAAAACCACAATGAGGTATCACCTCACTCCAGTCAGAATAGCCATCATCAAAAAGTCTCCAAATAATAAATGCTGGAGAGAGTGTGGAGAAAAGGGAATGCTCCTACACTGTTGGTAGGAATGTAAATTGGTGCAGCCACTGTGGATAAAAGTATGGAGCTCCCTTAAAAAAACTAAAAATTGACCTACCATATGATCCAGCAATCCCACTCCTGGGCATATATCAGGAAAAGATGAAAGCTCTAATTTGAAAAGATACATGCACCCCAATGTTTATAGAAGCACTATTTACAAAAGCCAAGACATGGAAACAACTTAAATGTCCATCAACAGAGGAATGGATCAAGAAGATGTGGTACATATATACAATGGAATGTTACTCAGCCATAAAAGAGAATAAAATATTGCCATTTGCAGCAACATGGAGGACCTAGAGAATATAATACTAAGTGAAGTAAGTTAGACAGAGAAAGGCAAATATTATATCACTTGTATGTGGAATCTAAAAATTAATACATGGACCTAGAGACTGTCATACAGAGTGAAGTAAGTCAGAAAGAGGAAAACAAATATAGTATATTAACCCATATATGTGGGTTAATGGTAAAGAAAAATGGTACAGATGATCTTATTTGCAAAGCAGAAATAGAGACACAGATGTAGAGAACAAACATACGGATACCAAGGGGGAAGGGGGGTGTGGGGTGAATTGGGAGATTGGGATTGACATATATACACTACTGATACTATGTATAAAATAGATAACTAATGAGAACCTACTGTAAAGCACAGGGAACTCTACTCAGTGCTCTGTGGTGACCTAAATGGGAAGGAAATCCAAAAAAGAGGGATATATGTATATGTATAGCTGATTCACTTTGCTGTACAGCAGAAACTAACACAACATTGTAAAGCAACCATATTCCAATAAAAATTAATTTAAAAAAATAAAATAAAAAGTAAAAATTAATACAAATGAATCTATGTACAAAACAGAAACAGACTCACAGACATAGAGGACAAACTTATGGTTACCAAAGGGAAAGGGGAGGTTGGTGGGATAAAATAGGAGTACAGGATTAACAGGTACAAACTACTATACATAAAACAGATAAGCAATAAGGATTTACTGTATAACACAGGGAACTGTATTCAACATCTTGTAATAAACTATGATGGAAAATCTGAAAAAATATGTATATATATAATGGAATCACTTTGCTGTACCTCTGAAACTAACACTATATTGTAAATCAACTACACGTCAATAAAATAAATAAATAAATAAAAATTAAAAAACATTTCCAGCACCAAAAAAAAAATAATAATAAGCACATGTAATTTTCATGGAGTTGAAAATTGAATACAGCGTATAATGATGGAGTGCTAAAGTTACTCTAGCTGTGCTAAAAATCTTAATATATTCACTGTTAGAGCCCCTTTAGAGATTTTTTCCCTTTCATAAACCCCACAGTAGTAGGCTAACGAAGTTACAACTGTAAGTTTGATAGGATTGTGACTATGACAGGAACAAATTATATTTAAAACATATCTTAAAATTAAAGTGTAAAATTTTTTAAATTTCATAAGGACATTACAAAGATACTGCGTTGTCTTGTACTCTACATGTTGCTCAAATGTTTGGTGTGTATTTCTCTATTCTCACCAAAGCGATTGTAAGTTCCTTGAGAGCATAAGGGAGGCTGTACCTTGTATTATTTTCTTGGGCCCCACAGACCTCTAGTATTCTGTGAACAGCAGACATTTAATGAATGAATCGCTGGCTGGTGTACTAAATGAATATATACATGCACTATGCATTGCTTTTCCAGGAGTAGATTTATATTAATTTGCAGTCACTTTCTTGCTCTTCATCACAATGAGAACCACTGGCATGAGGTAGAGTCTGTGGCCGCAGAACATGTGGATTTTCCTGAAATTGGGATTCTATCTTGTTAGGCTACACCAAATATTAGTTCCTTTGCCTCTGCCAGATTCATGTGTCATGAATTCTGCTTAGTCATGAGAGATAGAACAAATTCACACTCCAGGAGGGCGGCAAGGGCAGCCTGTGCCCTTGGGCAAGTTCTTCACCTTGCTTGTACATGCAGACCATAATGGTACCTCCTCCTCTTGGGATCATCCTAAGAATTAGAAGAATGAATAATGGCCTCTGACAAGCACTCCAAGAACGCTAATCGTTGTTATTACTTCTCTCTGTGCGTGGTGTAGGTAAGAATGCTGCACTAGTGAACTCATAGGTTCCATCCTTGGTGGCCCAGTTATTGGCCACACCCCCTCTTGTGCTGTCCTTAGGGCAGGGTTGGTAAACACAATGAAGTCACGGGGGGCTGGAGGTTTTGGTGAGAGGCATAAACCTATAAAGGGCTCTACTGTAGGTTTTAAGATGAAGGAATGAAGGTGTTTCTAAAACTTTTCTATATATTACAGAGATAGGAGAGCAAATGGAGATGTGGGGTATTCTATATGATTAAAATATCACATGGTTAACGTTTGTAAAAATTTTTAACCTATCTTTGGTGTTGTAATTGAGCTACTAATGCCACTTGTGTTTCAGGCAGTGTGGGATGAGTTGTTTTCCCATCTTATTATGTAGAGATGTGCACAATTGATAAAATAAAAATTTATTTTCTAAGGCAAGTCAAGGAAAATTTAAACATAAAAAATTTCCCTGCCCTTTGACCTTTTCTCTCCCTTTTACTGTGCACAGTGTATCCTCATGATGCGTCAACCAAACTTTCCCCTCCGCAGAAATAGCTGCTCAGCCATTAAGAGCAACATATCCTAGCATCAACAAGATAACTCCTTAGAAGGTAACCTTCCTGCTTAATCTTGGAAGGGGCCACAATGATCCATGACCCACTACTCGTTTTGTATGCTTAGATCTGGATTGTGTAAACCGTCAATGATATGTTATTTAATGTACAGCCTTCTGTCTCAAAAACTTATATGTAACTGTGCTTTGACCTTACCTAGTGGAACAGTTCTTGGACCTTTCTGAGAGACTGTTCCCAGATGATAGTCCTCAATTTGGCTCATATAAAATCTTCCATTTTTTTCTTAGATTGACTGATTAATTTTTTTGTCGACAAACCAAAGATAGCACCTCCAATTTTACTTCTTAGAATTTACTGTATTCTCAATGATGCTCATATTTAGATTGACGTTGATTGGTGTGTTGTTTGTAATAGCAGAATGTTGTAAGTGTCGTACATATCACCACCACCACCACCACCCCCCCGCACACACACACACAACTGGGGACTGGTTAAATAATTTGTAGTGGATGGATATTGTGGACACTGTGTGGTTTACGGTCAGTTAGCATTCAGCACCCATTTCTACCCCTCTCTATGTTCTTTCCCAAAGGAGAAAACTATTTTTCTCAAACTCACTTACAGATAGGCTTCTGGATGAGAATTTGCTTCCACCAATGAGAAGTGTGTGTGTGTGAGCCTTGGAAGCTGGAAGTTAGAGGGAGGCCTCCTTCGTAATGAGCGGCCAGCTTATTAGTATTTGCAGCTAGTCTCAACATTCCAATGTCTCGTTATCTCCCTTGTCATTATCTAGAGGCAGCAGCCCAGATGCAGCAGTCAGAGTCTAGTCACCAGCTTCAGGGGGAACTGAGGCAGCTGTGGGGCTATAGCAGTAGAAACATCAGCAATTTGCCAACCTCTGGATTATAGTGGTGTGCCCTTGAAATCAGTATTTGGTAACACATCACTGTCTTCTGCTTCTTGAACCCAAACTACAATTTTGTAAGCACCTAATTTAAATCCCTTTCTATCTGAAGTACTTACTTAGAGTGATTTCTGTTTCCTGCACTAAATTCTGACAGATAAAAATACTATATGGGGCTTCCCTCGTGGCGCAGTGGTTGAGAGTCCGCCTGCCGATGCAGGGGACACGGGTTCGTGCCCCAGTCCGGGAAGGTCCCACATGCCGCGGAGCGGCTGGGCCCGTGAGCCGTGGCCGCTGAGCCTGTGCGTCTGGAGCCTGTGCTCCGCAACGGGAGAGGCCACAACAGTGAGAGGCCCGCGTACCGCAAAAAAAAAATAAAATAAAATAAAAATACTATATGGATGTCAAGAAGAATTAAAATAGCTATGGGCTGTAGAACAATATTCAAGTTATAGCATTAGAGTACAAAAATAAAAGTAGAGAATAGTGTGTAAAGTATATTTTCATTTGTGTAAAAATTAAGTGTGTGTGTATATTAACTTATATTGTTGACGTGAAACAAATGACTGCCAGATATTTCTCCAGCAAGGATGAGTTTATTCTGGATCAGCAAAGAATTGCAGTTGGGGGTCTGAAACCACCTACATGCAAGTCACCACCTGGCAAGGGAAAAAGAAGTCTTTTATAGAGAGGAAAAGGAAGTTGGGAGGGCTGTAGTAAACAGAGTCCATGGCTTTTCATTGGCTGAGTCCCTGCCAGGAAAGAAGACAAGTCTTTTTCCTGGCCTCTGTTATCGCCACAGGGCATGAGAGTTCCCCATTCTGGCCTCCCAACCCTATTTAATTATGGTTTCTGTTTATTAATTTTTTTACAACATATACATACACATATGTGCTTCTTTATATGTAGAAAAAATTCAAAAAGTTTATATAAGAAAATGAAATCAGTAATTGCCTCTGGGAAAACAAAAATGGAGTCTGGGATAGGAAAGAGCTTTACATTTCATTTATATATCCCTTAAAGTGTTGACTTTCTTTTTATATGTTTATGAAATACATTTTTTTCAATTAAAAACATTTTTAATTATAAGAAAATGGCAAGTTTTTGTAACAATTTGCAAGCAAAAGGAAAAACACCCATTAACCCACCAACCTGACATATTATCATGTGTTTTCGTGTATGTTTTCTCTAAATCTTACAGAAAGATATGAATACAGACTACTTTATAGTCCAGTTTGGTTTTTTTGTCTGTTTTGTTTGTTTTGTTTTTGTTTTGCTTATCATATATAACTAGCACTTAGAAAGTACTGTTCATTTGCCAGGCACAGTGGTTAGAAGTTTCCTTGAATTATATTTCATTGAAACTAAGATGTTATTGATGGTAAGATGCACCATTACCTTATGTATCATTAAGAAAGGAATCTTTTTTAAAAACTGCCTGCTAAATTCTTACACAAACCACACATAGGCTTTCTCCCTCAAATGAACCATGTATCTCTGGAATTTAAGCAACTTCTCTCTGAAGGCAACAGGACATTTCTGACACACTGATGCTACCACTCTGATGATGGTTTTACAGAAGGCATGAATTGGTCAGACCAACCTCTCACTGCTTTGAGATTTCTTTCATCTCTTTCAAACTATTTCACAGTTTCTCTTGCCTTTAATGGCATTGGCTGGTGTATGACAGGCTCATCTCACAGTGACAAAATGCAACACAGCTTCCTCTTCAAGGTTGCTTTGCATGAATGTGTGGAATTGCAATCTTTCTTTCAGGGACAAATATTTCTTTGCTCCACTTCTGTACCTTGTCCATACACAATAACATTTATTTCCATGCTGAATCATAGTGTAATTTTAAGGCACTTAAAATGGCAGTTAAATTCAAATTGTGTGGTACCACGATGTACATAATTCAGTTGATGTGACAATCACATGAACAGAGATGGCCAGGTTTACATGTGTAAACAATACCAACTCTGTGATTATAAGACACCTTCAACTATAAGTCACAGCCCAATATCAGAGGTGTTAAAATAAATGTGAAAAAAATATTCTCCTTAGAATAGATGAAACATTATCCATTTGATCCTCAAACAACCTTTAAGTCAATTCTATTAAGCCTCAAGTAAGAAAACTGGGAAACAAGGAGGTTATCAAGGTATTTAGCTATTAAAAAGCAGGTCTTTTTAAAATGTAGTCAATCTGGTTCTGATGCCCAGAGTCTTAATCAGTAAGCTATGTTGTCCTCTTGTTGTTATAAAACTTTTCCTTTATTGCTACATACTATTCATGATATGGCTGCTTAGTATTCCATTAAAAGGACAAATCAGAATTTAATAATTATCAAATATTAGATAGATTGCTTCTAATTTTCCCATCATGAGTTATGCAATTAACGTATCAATGCATATGGCTTTTCACAACCCAAAGAGATATATTTTATTTTTTTAAATATAAAAGCAACACATGTTCTAGAAATTTTGGAAAATGCAGAAATTATAAAGAAGCAAACAACCAAGTTATTATAATTTCATCACCTAGGGGCAGTCATTGCCAACATGGTAGGAAGTTTCTTTTCAGTTTTGTCCATAAGCCTTTTCGTATAGTTTAGATTATAGTGGAAATACCTTTCCATGTTCTACTTTATTCTCTTAGAGTGTTGTATTAGTTTCCTGTGGCTGCCATAACAAATTACCATAAACTTTGTACCTTAAAACAACAGAAACCTATTCTCTCACAGTTCTGGAGGCCAGAAATCCAAAATCAAGCAGTGAACAGGGCCACTGTACTCCCTTAATCATAACTGATCAAAACATGTTGCTTTTATAATGTTCTAAGATTATAATCATAAATGAAGAGGGTAATAACCAGTTGTGAATACTGGCACCTCATTACATTCTCTTTAGAAGCTAGACACACTCAAATCAAGGAAGACTCATTCTCTATAGTCAGTAATCAACACTTTTCCTTTTTAAATTTTATTTATTTATTTATTTAGGCCCTGCCACGTGGCTTGCAGGACCTTGGTTCCCCAACCAGGGATTGAACCCTTGCCCGGCAGTGAAAGCGCTGAGTCCTAACTGCTGGACTGCCAGGGGATTCCCAATCAACACTTTTCTTGTTGCTTTAAAATTGGCTTGGAGAGATGTGGATGTGACTCATTTGTGACTGTGGCAAATGACGATGTGACTTCATCAAGTTGACGGGTACTGTGCCCTGTGTGTACCACTTTCCTAAATAAGGCTAGACACGTTTGCTTCAGGTAAGTGTTCAAAACACAACAAAAATGCTGAGAAATTTCCACAGTCTTGGTGAATATCTCATTGAACAATGTTGCTTTATAAAGAGACTGATGAGTCAGCTGTGTTGGATTTGTAAAGGTTGCTGTCCTCTATATTCAGGTGGTTAATTTGAACGTAGAACTACCATTTTAAACTAAAGAATGGATTTGCTGGAGAGGCAGTGCTTTGTGAAAAGAGGAAATATGAAGTCAGATCTGGATTCAAATGCTGGCTCTGGCTGCTTTATTTTCTGTAACATTTGGGAATTTAACCTACCTTTAAGAGTAAATGAAGATGATAAGGAGTATTTAGACATTTGTGAAGATTAGAGATGGAGTATATAAAAAATATTGCACAGCCAGATTATTTTAGATGGCAGATTATCCTTCTAGAGGATAAGGCAGTGAGTGGACAACTAAAGACCTTGATATTACTCAGATGCCATTAAGCTTCAGTAGCAGTACAGTGTGCTGCCTTAATGCTAATGTTAGCTGCTTTGCATCAACAATGAAAACCAGTTAAATGCTTGGTGAAAGATTTCCCTTTGAAGGCTTATATTCTCCTTCTCCCCATTCAGAAGCAAAGGTTCCTGGAATGAGGCAGTCTACATTTAAGGGTAAATCTACACTTCAGTAGATCAAATGAGTGATTCACTATTTACAGCACATTGAAGAATTAAGTTGACACTGATGCTTTGGCCTTTCAAATAAAGTAAATAAAATGATGAAATATAAACTGATGTTTCTAGAGTAGCAAAGCTTAATAAAGTGTAATATAATTAGCAGACCAGCTCATGGTGCTTCAGCACTGATAATTCTGACACCAGAGTGATCTTGAAATGACTTATCAATGAAGATATAAATTATTCTCTTTCTTATTGCAAAATAAAATTGTAAACCTGTTATAGTAAAGGTCTTTGGATATATTTAAGTTATTATGTGTTGCTTTAAATTTACAAAATTCTGTAGTATTTAGAGAAGTCTATAGCCCTCTTGGAAATTAAACCAAAAAACTCTTTGACAAGAAGAAACCCCTGATGACTTTGACAGCAGCTGGGGTCATGGGCTTCTCAAGGAACTGCTGGGACAGAGCTCCAAATGCAGGAGATCACTACCCCAGAGTTGTGAGTTCTTTGATGGCAGAAACGTTGTCATATATGTTCGTTCCTTATACAACACCGTGTGGCTGGACCAGAGTTCATGCTCGATAAATGTTTGTTGGATCAATAGCTTATCTAGAGAAGCATTGTTTTCCATTGTGGTGCAGCATCATTGTTTAGGAAGTTCTTCACATACAAATCCTATGAAAGTAGTAATCCTAAAGTATTTACATTTCTGTTCTATTCCCTTCGTGTTCTCCATGTGTGATATTGATTCATTAGATAGAAAAGGGAAGCATGTTAAACTTATAATTAACCTTTTCTCTTGACATGTAATTAGCTAGGATTTATGAGATGCTAAAGATTTCAATGTCTGAGAAAGGGAGCATAAATAGGGCTAATTTTGTATTACTAAGCTTGGAGTAATACAGTCATTTATTTTCATTGAGACATTATGTATCTGATATATTTTTATTTTAAAGTGGCTAATCTTCTAAAACCTTAGTTATATTATTCTAGTCCAATCCTGGAATAGAGATCTGATTTTAACTTTTTTCCACCACAATTGGGGATCATATCAGTTCAAGTCCACATGAAATTTTACAGAGTGTGAATTCACTTTCATCTTCATTTTGTTAAGATAATTTTATTATTATGCTACTATCATAATTCAAAATTATACTGTCGATAGAGTAACATTTTAGATGAACCAAACGAATCTTATAGGAAAAATATGTTAAAATTTATATTAAACTAGAACTTAAAACTCTTTGTACTGTTTTACAATATGTTGCAAGCAAACTTTTATCAAATAATGGTTATTTTGCATTAGATGGAATTAATTTTTAAGGTTTCTTCTCCTTTATTTAGGAAGAAATATTTCCCCCCTAAATTTAGTAGGCTACCTTCAAGAGAAAAAAAATGCCTATAGTAAGGAAATAGATTACAAAGTATCTAATTTTTCACTTATTTGGAAAAAAATCTAATTGGCTTGCCCAATGAAATATGAGAGATTTTTAAACTTTGGAGTCTTTCTCCTAAACTTGAAAGTGTCTCACAGTTTCTGTGTTGTCAAGAACATAGACATCCAACCTCACCTGAACTTTTACCTTACAATTCTTGTGCTTCTAAATCTTGTGAAAACCTCTCTAACATCAGTTAGATCAGATATTTTCTTCAGGTCCTATACTTTATCATGCCAATTGATTAAGAAGGCTAAAATTAGTAGCTGGAACTGTTGTTCAAAGCATCACTTTTCCTCATCCGTACTGTAGTAAAGCACTCTTTTTATACTTTTAAAATTCACTTTCTAAAGTTTAAACCAGAAATAGTAGATATTTGCTCCATACTTAGCAATATTCCTTGGCTTCCTATTTATTTCAATTTTCAAATAGGAGCTCTACCTATAATTAGTATCATTATTAATACTATTGTTAGTCTTTCATAAGTACAACTTATGTTCTGCTGATCCCCTTCCCTTCTTGCTAGTTAGATGTATGTGATTATCACTAATAGGCTTATATTATAGTCTTCACAACCCTTCTTTCCCACATTTACTTTTCCTAATCATTTGAATAGCATTTATTTTGTTCTATGATTTAATAATTGTTATTAAACTTATTGTTGTAACTTTTATGGTAAAGAGTCTTTTAAGAAACACATTTTAATAGCATAAAATATGTGAGTCGAAGGAAGTAAAAATGCAATAAAAACAAGAAAGACATATGAGAAGAAAGAAGCAAATTTAGGTTAGCTGAACAGTGGTCTTTTGTTTAGGAAGTTCCATACCTTCTTATGAGACCCGCCGTAAATCAAAGATAGGCTGGTCTAGGTTGTTCTTGATTTTTGCTTATGATGGGGAGGAAAAATGGCTTTTAGTTACCTATTCCATTACCTATTCATCAAGAATCTGGGCGTTAGTTTTCATTTTATATTTTGACTACTATCCTCAGAGAAATTCTTTGTTTCTGGTGATTGCAGTGATTTCTCTCTTTTGAGAGCTGCGGATCCAAGGTTATAGTTGACTATTCCCTCAACCTTCTTACAAGTGTTTTATTAAATGGTACTTGTCTGTGCTTAAATATTAGATAGCAGAGCTATTAGGAAGGAAAGCCAGGAGGATAGCAGACATAAATATCTTTTTCTGTGCTGCTGGGACAAGGTGACCTGGAAGCCAGTTGCTGTGTTACTGTTAATGAGGATAAACAAGCCCTATAGGAAGACTCAGATTGTAGAGGCCAAATCGTAATGTTCAGTTCAAAGGGTACCAGGCTCTGTGGTCGGAATGCAGAGATGAATGAGATGCTCTGCCCCATGAAGATTCTTTTTTCCTGTGAGGATAGGAAAGCCCTATAGAATTGAGGCATCACTATTGGAATAACGTAGAGGAACCCCTCAGTGAGCCAGTGGGCATATCTCAGAATGAGAAAAATCAGACTTCGTGTGACACAGAATTTTTAGAAAAAAAATGGGATTTTTAGCAATTAATACTATTCATCTCCAACTTTTTACTACTAGACTTATCAAATAGCTGGTGTGCCACTACCATCTTTATTTCCTTGCCACTTCATTCCTTAACCTCTTGAGATCATCCAGCCTGATCACTCCTCTGAAACTACATTCTAAAAGGACATAATTTCTTGATTGTTAATTTAATGGTAAAATGTAGATGGAACAGCAAGATAGTTAGTAGAATGAGCTTTGAAATCAGCAGACTTGGGTTAAGATTCTGTTTCCACCACTTACTAACTAGCTCTGTGACTTTGAGAAAGCATTTTTTAAAGTCTCATCTGAGAAATCAGGATTATAAAATCAATCTAATAAGATTATCATAAGGATTGAGAAAATATATAAAGCACCTATCACAGGCCAAGGCACATAGTTGATACTCAATACTTGCATGATTATTTTTTAAAGGCTTTTCACAGTCTTTATTTTTCCTGACATTTCTATAACATGTAAAAAACGTCACCATCTCATACTTACTAAAAATGTTTCTTTCTTCTTCTAGGTCACAAACCTTAAACAAACCTTAATGTTCAATCCTTGTACTGCTATTCTTTATTCCATAAAAAGCTGTTATCACATTTTACCTAAAGGGATGAAGGGAGTGACTTAAAAAGGCAGTGCATCACTTTGAAAGAAGAAATAACCCTCAGTGGAGGGACATAGCCAACCCAAGACAACCTTGTTGGAGCTAGAGTAGTCAGTATTACCCTGATCTCACTCTCTTCCTTCTCTCTGATCTGCTGCTGGGGCCCCTTATTGGCTAAGAGAGCCAGAAAGCATAGGAAGCCATGGATGGAGTCTGTGTAGTCTGTACTTCAACATAGGTTCCACATGAATACTGACAAATTTTCAAATCAGTTTGTGCAAATTAATTATTCTACTGATTCTGTCTTTGATATGTTCTATAGGAAATGCAGCTCTGATCTTTGAATGTTCTTGTGTACAGAACAGATGCAATTAGAAAAAAATTACAGCTAGAATGAATGAATGATCCCATCAAAGAATCTGTTATTTTAAAATATTTTACTCTCCTATTTCTCAGGGTTGTATACAAGCAGGCCTGATTTTGCCCCCAAGGGACATTTGACAGTGTCTGGAGACATCTTTATTTGTCGTACTTGTGAATAAGGGTGGGTGCTACCAGCAATTAGTGGGTTTCGTGTGTAGAGAAGCCAGGGATGCTTCTAAACAGCCTATAGTGCACAGGCCAGTCACCCACAATAAAGAATTATCTGGCCCCATACCAAAATATTAACAGTGCCAGGATTGAGAAACACTCCTCTAGAAGAAACTAAAGATACCAACAATATATTTAAAAAGATAAAATAGATCTTTTTAAAGATATATATGTATATATATTTACACTGAATACACATG